GGTGTTGGTGTTGGTGTTGGTGTTGGTGTTGGTGTTGGTGTTGGTGTTGGTGTTGGTGTTGGTGTTGGTGTTGGTGTTGGTGTTGGTGTTGGTGTTGTCTACCTCAAATTGTTGCTGGTCTACCTTAAACAGGTCACCTGAGAAAGTGTGGTCTCAAGCCTTCCTTCAGCCGTGCGAAGGGAAGTTTCCTCGTCCACTCCTCTTGCCACAAAAGCACATCTATGTAAGGCTACTTAGGTGAAGAGGGCTCATAACCCTGCTTTTACTTCTATATGTTGATTGTCTGGTCCTATGGAGTGATTTTTAATTTGCAGCTTGCTTTATCATAATCCTTTTGAGCATTAAGTAAAGCCTTGGCCGAAAACTTTCTACTTGCTTCCTGAGTTATTCTATCATCACGATTGCACACAACCAGAACTAAAGAACCCAGAGAGAGAGAAAGGACTAAGGATATTTCACCCTGTGGGTCTCTGTCACAACTGGACATGAACAATAGTTACCACTGAGGATTCCAGGGACAACTTAATTTTACTTACATTTTATCCCATGTTGTTTATAAACATTGTCTCCCTAAATGATCTGAATCAATTGAGAGAGAGAAGAGATCCCATCTTCAGACGTATAAACTGAAAAATAATGTAGAGAAGAGAAGTGGAAGAGGCTAGTAGAGGAAAGAGATAGGTTTAACAATACCAGAGCAAAATGGTGAACTGAACTATAAACATGTAATTATATTCAGTTGAGGTTCAGGCTTCTCTTTTCTTAAGTCTTGATAGAAGTGCTGTAATTAGTTCAGCAGCCCTTGTTCCCCAACCTGGATTCACTGGATTCAATGTGATTTTGTATCACCACAATGGACATATTTTAGATAGAGCAGAAGGTCTTGGGCTATATACCATGAGGGAAAACAAAAAATCAGAACTCTTGAACTGTATAATTGGACTGAAAATTGTGGCAACACTTCCAAAGCATCTACTGTAGGTAAATTCTATCTATCTATCTATCTATCTATCTATCTATCTATCTATCTATCTATCTATCTATCTATCTATCTATCATGAGGTAAGGGGGAGTGTCTTAAGAAAATGCATTTGAGAATTCTAAGCAATTCTAATCTCATGTACTGGTGCAGAATAACCAGATTTGATAAATAACTGATCTTGATATGTGATGCTCCTCAGTATGGAATTGGAGCAACTGCTCATTTGCCAGATGCAGTATGGCTCAAATATATCAAACGGTTTACTGTAGTAGTTACAAAATTGGAATAATCCATATCTTGCAAATGTTTGTTAACCAGTCCTCATAGCTCTTAAAGTTGGATGCACTGTTCAGAATAAGGCACAATGGCCCAGGAATTCAATTGCTGGCAGAGAGGTAATTATAAAATCTAGTACTATCTATAATGACTGCATGTACCTAATGAATTGAAATAAGGATGAAGCCAGTCACAGACTGCCTCCTAGTGGTCACCTAATGTGTAAAACCAATGGGAATAATAAAGTTGCCCTCTCAAATATAACCAGTGATTATATTCACTGAGACAACTAGAAAATGCTGTTGAAACAAAGAATTGGGTGAGAAATGCAAATGGCTACAGGGATCTCTGGTAAAAACATGGACACTATCACAACATGAGGTTGCTCACGGCTCCCTGCTATCCTGTCACATACGTACCCAGCTGCAATGTTCATTTTAGCTGACAGCAGACCCAGAGGGTACAAATACAGCACAGGTTTTCCTAAGTTTCCCATAGAAAAGGGGGGCTGTTGCTGAGCTGACCCAAGGAGGAATAGAAAGCCACAGACTTAAAGAAAAATATTCTGGGAAGAAGAACAAGAAAAAATAGAGGCGTAATGGCTGGAAGACCAATATGGATTCTAGGTACTGTTGGCTGATGACATTTTGTTTTCAGAAGAGCTCTGGGCAAGACTGTTGAAGTGGTCATAAGTGCGGAATGGGTCCAATGATCCACTGAAGGAAGAAAAAGCCTGCCATTGGACAAATCTACCCATTGCAGATGGCTTTTGTGGAAAGCTGAAGAAGGCAGAAGGAAATCCACATCCTGCCAGCCAGAGAAAAAGACTGACTCAGGGAAAATGCCAGGCGGTGTAATTAACCCCCTTACTTATCTTTAATTATAAAGTAGGGGTAGGATGTAGAAGTAGCAAAGTGCATATTGAGCTAGCACTAGACGACACACATGATGGTAGATTTCAACAGTAGAGGGAAGCTTTACAGAAGTAGTCTAGCCTAGAATGTTTGGCAACTATGTAACAGTCAAATCTCTGTTGATTTTACTTTGCTTTATGGATTTATCACTGCTTCTTGGCTATTTATTGGTAAACAAGGCAGGAGGGTGAGGAGAAAGGAATTTGGCTTGCTTAGCTAGTTGTTGTAATGAACTGCGACCGAAAAACAAAGCTGCTTTGCTTTGCTGATTTTATAAAAGAGGGGGAAAAAACATAAAATGTCTTTTGTGTTGTGTTTTGGATCAAATACCAAGCACCCCCAGCCCCTCATAAAAATGTTGGTGGCAGCTTTGAGAACTTGGACTAAAATGTCCTGCTCTCTTATGTGGCAATTAGCAGATGTGCAAATTAAATAAGCCATAGCCAAGCCAAACGTTCAGGTGATTCTCCCTGTACTGGTGAGAATGGAAAAGGAATCTCAATCTCTGGAGGAAGAATCTTTTATTATGGCAGATGTGGGAGATGGGCAGCCCCCCATGGATGTAGACCCTAGTGCTAAATCCAAGGTTGCAAGGCTGCTTCCTGTAATTGGTCTTCAGCCTGCACCCAATCGCAGCCAGAAAGGGAAAAGGATTAGATAAAGCTGTCCCAAGAAATGTTTAGACAGCAGCAAAAAGATACAAATTTTGTGGTGCATAGTCTTGAAAAAGAAAGACACCAAAGAGAATTGAAATGCAATGATTGGCTTGAGACACAGCAAGGGAAGAGAGAGGTACGATTCCAGGCATTAATCAAAGATGTGATAGGATGAGGTGGAACAGGTATTTCCCCAGCTCCAGCCCCCTGTACCTAAAGAGAGTCCGTAGCAGATTATAGTACAGTGGTACCTCGTTTCACAAACTTAATTTGTTCCACGATTCTGGTCGCGAACCAAATTGGTC